CTTTCCCTAGCTGAAGCGGGTGGGTAGGAAAACCCTGTCCCAACCCCCCTCCCCAGGAGGTGCCCTTCTTCCCCTGGGACAGCAGGGACCATGACCCAGGAAAGCCAATCCCTGGCAGCCCGGGCTTGATTAGCTTCAAATTTTTTCTTCCTGTTAAATTCATTGAAGGAGGACTAAGTTGGAGGGCGGAGATCATGGACTCAGACCTTCCCCAAAGCCCAAGGAGCTGCACAGCTCTAACCTGCTGGTGAAGAGCAGGAAATGAAACGCTGAGCGCATGGCGGGGAATGAGCGGCCTGAGCCAGTGGGGAGGGGAAAGTCAATCTTTGAAAAGCTTTCACTCATAACATTTGAAGGTGCCAGTGGCACGGAGCAGGCTGAAAAGCCAGATGGGCAGACAGACGGACAGACAGACTTGCAGAGTAAAGAGCTGCTGAAAATCTAAACTCCGTCCTTGGTGAATGCGAAGGACATGTGGACCTTATTTCATTGCCCATCCCACCAGCCATGAATTGCTTCAGAGTCCAGGAAATTGCCACGTGTGACTCCTGCCCGGCTGTACTGCCTTGCCTTGGGTGGGCACCACTGGTTCTTCCTGACCCCTGGAGCACGGGAATGGCTGGGCACACATTTGTGCCCCGCTTGCCGTTGTGCCGCTTGGAGTTGAAAGGCAGCCCCGGGTCCATCCTGTGTGGTGGTCCATCCTTGGAGGGGGCAGAAGGGAAGGGACTGTTCTTTCTGTGTCATCTTGTACTATGAACCCCCATCTCGGCTTCGCCTGACCCTCCTTCCCTACCCCCTTGCAGTACCCTGGACAGCTCCGAATACACGGGACAGGCATGGCCCTCCACCCACCTCCCACGGTTGCCCACACCCCAGCACCGGCGCGCTTCCTTTGCTGTCTGTAGTAGTGGGTGCTGGATCCTCTGTGGGCCAGCTGCCCTGTGCATGGCCTGTGAGTGAGCCCCAGCCTTCAGCTCACCGCTTCACACTTGCCCTTGGGCTCCCCTCCCCAGCATGGGACTTTGGCTGCGCCCCAGCCATGCCCCTGTTCCAAGCCCATATCTATTCTGTTGCCAGAAGGCATCCTCTCTCTTCCCAGCTCGAGCATGTTGCCTCATTCAGCCCCTTTCCTGGTTCCCTTCTGGGGCTGTAGTTGAGTTTTGCACCCACTGCAGGGGGCTTCCCCAGGGAGACTCCCCTCTCCCATGGTGAACAAGAAACCTCTGCTTCTCCACTGGCCCTCCTAGAAGGAACAGGCTTCCTTGGGGACATTTCACCACCCCCGATCCCCACATCCATAGGGAAGCTGATAGAAAACTGCTGTCATCAGGGCTAGCAACCAGGGCTAGACTCCCTGCGCTGGAAATCCCAGCACCCGCTAGTTGAGCAAAGGAAGTCACTTCTCCCATCAGGTAGCAGTAGCAAGTTGTTATCATCCCCACAGTGGCCACCAGCAAGCGACATGACCCCATGCCCTGAGCTTGCACATCACTCTCATGGTGCACCAGGAACAACCCTGGGAGCCTTTGGGGGTTTCTCTCTCAACTCATTTTGGCCCCAGAAGGATAGGCCAAGAGGATATTCAAGACCCCTGTTCAGCAGCCTCCTGCACCAGTACTGGGTCTCCTTAAACTCCTAGGCAGAGGAACCAGGAAGCCGGAGGCCAGAGTGAGGGACATGGTTAAAATCCCCCCATCTCCCTCTTTCCTTGAAACCCAGTTCTGTGGAGAGTACAAGGAGATCTCCTCTGTGCTGCCTGCTGCTGCCTTCCCCCTTTGAAGTGCAGGGAGCAGCACCCAGGATCCCAGGCAGCAGGCAGGGCTGGCTGGAGGCATTTCCAGCAGGAAAGGCAGAAGCCCCCTGCCAGGGTCAGGTAGGGGAGATTACAAAGGAGCCTTTGAAAGTCACAGTGGGTGGAGACGGGGGGAAGGAGTGGGCTCCACAGCCTTTGAAGCCTTTCTCTGGCTTCTCCATCCTCATCAGGTCCCTCACCCCCAGGTTTTTGATGTACCAGCAATTGCTTCCCAGCTGGCTGCGCGCCACCCAGCTGGGTGCCCCTTCCCCACGGGTGGTCTCTTCAAAGAGCTCCCTGCTGTCTCAGCTACCTGCAGCAGAGACGCTGCCCACACCAGGGCCCAACTACAGAATTCAGCCCCTACTGCTGCTTTTGAACGCTGAGCTGAATTTGGCCAGTTTTAGTGAGTTTAAAGGGAGAGGCTGTGAGCGCAGGGCTCTGCCGGTGCCCCTTGATCTGGTTGTGTACCCCCCTGTTATCCCTGCCCAGGGCTGCCCCTGGCAGCACTGCCATTGTTCCACTGGTGCCCCTCGCTCCTGACCCACAGCCCCTGCTCCTATGGTACTGGCTTCCCTGCTACTGCTCTGCCTCTCAGGCCCAGCCTGCAGCTCTGGCTACTCCAGCCAGTGGTGCTGACCGAGCCGTTCCGGTCCCCTCGGCCCCGGCTGCATGTTCCTGCTGCTTGTGGCTAAGCCTGTGGTATTGCGTGGCTGTTTTGTGATCTAGAGCAACTCCCACTAGGGGCTGATCTGGGACCCAACAAACTCGTTCCACTGGTGAGCCAGGCATGGTGGAAGCTGAGCCCAGTTCTTGCCATGGGGCTCAGTTGCTGGCTTTATCCAGAGGATCCTCTGCTTCTCCTCTGTGTGCCAGGGCCTCGCCTTAAACTGAGGCCTAGTACTAGCGTAGGGTATCAGAGGTGGCAGGTGCTGGGCTGCTGGCCTAGGCCAGGCCTCCGAGTGACTGCAAGCCTGCATGTACCATGGCCCGGGACCCTCTGTGATGTCCCTGACTTTAGGGACACCCCCTGGCTTTGTGTCCGCTCTTTTCTGTCAGCTGGTGCCAGAAGCCCCTCCTTCCCAGCAGCCCTGGGGACCCTTGGGCTCAGTCAGGATATAACTCAGGGCTCCGTGCCCATAGAGTCCTATGGGCATGAGGGGGCTCTTCTCTCCCTGCCTCTGTCCTACTGCTGCTGCGGCCCCTGTCCTGCCTCCCGCTGGTGCCTCCCTTGAAGCACTGGGGGAGGCTAGCACTGGCAGCCCTGGGCAGGGCACACCAGCTGGGCTCTGTGCTGCTCTTGCTTCCTAATGGCTTGCTGTTTGTTTTTTGTCTGTGTTGTGTCCCCAGTTAAATGGAAGTGGTCAAGTGAAAGTGCCCAGCCACTACATTTCCACCCAGATGCTGGCGCCGCCACCTCCCCCTGGCATGCCCCGGTTGGCAATCTCTCCTGACACCAAATCCACCACGACAACTTCCGAGGGCGGGACGACCTCACCGACATCACCCAGTAAGCAGCCCGCGGCGCCACCAACCCTTGCCGGCATGTCCTGGTGCCATCCGTCCAGTCAGGCCTCGCCCTGCCATTCCCATCATACATGCCTCCTCCTGTTTTCTGGCTACCCTTCTCCCATCTCGCTGGCAACTTGGCTTCATTTAAGTGCTTCTGAGCAGCGGGGGCAGTCTGCAGGCCGTGCCTGGGAGCGAGGGACTCAGGGGCTGGTGTGTGGCGCCATCTCGTAGACAGGGACCCCCTGTCCACTAATGAGCAAAAGCAGTTGCCACCTGACAGCCTGTGTGGAATGAGTTTGCTGGGTCTCAGTTAGTTCTTAATGGGCAGGTCTTTTCATCCCAAGCCCGGGTTAGTCCTCAGGGACATTCTCACAAGAGAAGCCATGGGTGCTGGGCTGCCTTTGTTCTCATAAGGCCTGGCCCCTGGGTCAGGTCAGGGCAGCTCACTGCTGGGGGAGATTGCCCAAGCAGGTTGATAGGATATCGGTCTCTGCTGCAGCTGCTCTAACATGCACAGAGGAGAGTTACTGGGCAGTGGATCTGAGCTGATGCTGTTGAGAACACCCACTCAGGGCTGCTTCCCAGTCCACGCAGTGACCCTGTGTCCCTCAAGAGCCTTCTCCAAGCATGTCTCACTAAACTGGTAGGTCTGTAAAACACAGGGTGTGGGGGAGAGTCAGGACTCCTGGGTTGTATTCCTTTCTCTGACCCATGATTCCTACCAGTCTTGAGTAAACTATGTCACCTGTCTGTGCCTCAGTTTCACCCTCTGAAAAATAATGGAGGTGGGATGCTGCCTGGGGTGGCAGTAAGGTTTGTTTGGTGCATTGGGAGCTCAAGATGAAAGTGTTTGAGCAGGGTGGTTTTGGCTTGCTCGCCCCATCTGCCTGCATGGTGCCCTGGATGGCCTAGCCAGTCTGAACCATGATTCCCTTGCATGCAACAGGCCAGCCTGCATTTGGCATAGGTAGCACGTGCTGGGCTCTGTCTCTTCAGCAGGGGAATTGCTACTCCTGAGTCCTGTGTTAAGAGTCTCACACTTCTGTCCCATGGAGCTCTCAGGAGATGCATGGAAAAAAACCTGCAAAACCGTCGGGCTTTAAAGGAAAGAGAAATTTAAAGAGTGAGCAAAGGGCTTTGCTAATGCTGGGAACCTAGTTCCTACCATGACCATCTCCAGGGCAGCCCATGCAGCATGTCGGTCTGCAGGCCTGACCTGATGCCCACAGAAGTTGGGAGAAGCATTGATCCCTAGAGCTGCTGAGCATCAGCAATGGCACTATTGACCTAGTGAGGCTCTTAGCTGCTTTGGAGCAGGCATATGGGCTGTGTGAACAGACCCACCAGCAACTGGTGGTGCCCCAGCCCTTTCCTTGGTACCAGCAACTGTGATGCAATGTGGCTTTGCAATAGAGCCAAGTAGGGGACTCCGGATTGGATAAAACAGGGACTACCTCCATGGGTTCCTTGCCATCCAGTCCACCTGCCACCATCCTGCTCTGTCTGCCCACTGTTAGATAGCACAGCCCAGAGAGCATCTTCTCAGCTTTGCTTGGCTGCCAGTTGTCTCATCAGGACACTCATGGTGGGCATGTCACACTCAGGAATCCCTGTGCAGCATCAGCATCTCATCACGAACCACACCGCAGAGGCTGAGCTCTCTGGGCACTGCTGCTGCCCCCTGACCTGGGGGGATGGCACATTGGTGCAAGGCACTGGCATGGCTCAGAGCTGCCTGCATGTGAACATACACTAAACTGCAAAGCAGCAGAGCTGAGTGCCAGCCCTGTGTGGAGTTGGAACAGCTCGCCCATTCCAGGCCCTGCCCCTGTGAAGAGAATACCTTACCTGCTGGCGAAATGTAACTGCTGCACTTAAATATTGCTGGATAGTAAATAGATGGATGGATCAAAAGAAATCCATCAAGGCTTGTCCACTAGGAAAGGGCCGCTTTGCATGAGCTGAAGGAAGTAGCTGTCCAGGTAGCGGGGAGGCAGCAAGATTGAAAGGCGGCTGGGGGCCCTGTTGGGAGCGTCTCCCCTCCAAGGCTGAAGGATGAACTCTTTGTGCACGCAGTCTGCTCGGTTGGATAGTTAGCAGGGGGCAGCAGGACCTGAGAGCCCGTTCCAAGTTAGAGGAGCATCCTGGGAGCTAGAGAGTGATGGGACGACAGTCAGGAGAGGCTGTTGTGCAGGCTGGGTTAGCTCCATGCCTTCTGGAAACGGGAGAGCAGGGGGTCAAGAGGAGTGTGGGACGCGTCCCCTCCAGAGCCGTAGCCCAGAAGGTGGCAAGCTGAGGCAAAGAGCCAGCGCTCCGGGAGCAGCAGCAGGAGCAGATCCAGCCACGAGAGGGAGACAGTGAGCACAGGTCCCGCCTGAGGCAGCAGCACACAACCGACCTGAAGCTCTGGCTCACTGGCTCCCAGCCTGTGCTGCCTGAGGGCCCCACACGCGGTCAGCCTGGTGCCCAGATCACAGCCAGGAATGACTGTTGCTTGGAGCAAAGCCCTCACACAGGCCCCTGCAATGGCTCCCTCCCAAGCAAAGATGGGACTGGAGGCGTGGGAGCGTGGGCACTCTGGGTGTGACAGCTCTCAGCATGCCCTGCAGCAACCGATGCTGCCCTGCTTCACGTAATGGCATTAAAAAAGCAGCACTGTCTTATCTGCAACTGTGTGTCCTAGTGGCTAGAGCAGGGGGCTGGAAGCCAGGCTTTCCTTGGGCTAGTACTGTTTTTGCCACTGCCTTATGTGACCTTGGGCAGGTTGCTTTACCCCTTGGTTTCTCTACCTGAGTCTTTGAGATGTCAGTGCTCCTCTGCCCCAGGCCAGGGCTGGCACCTGGATGCTTGTGAAGCCCTCTGCTTCTTGCTTAGAGAGGGCAAAGCATAGCGATAAGCTGGCTTGTGTGTGTTACCCCATCCCCATGTTGAATATGACTCGAACTGTGTATCTTAACCCCCATACTGCAGTCTCAACCCAGGGCTGCTCAGGCGGATTCTGCGGGTAACCAGGACTCCAGACTCACAAGGACATCGACACAGCACCCTTCGCTCTTGCTGAACAAACGTGTTTGAGAGGCTGCCGTGTGAATGGGCTGCAGCCTGCTCCCCTGACCCTGCCATCAGCCCCCATCCCACCATAGCCAGCAGCACTGGGCCATGTCCTTTAGGAGATGCACAGAGTAGCCGCAAGGGGCCTGGAAGCCAGGAGCTGCCAGGTTCTCGTTCTGCAGTGTCACTCTGTGGCCTTGGCCAAGCCACTTTGCCTCCGCGCCTTGCTTGTCATGTGGAGAGAGTGATGCTGAGCTGCTCCTCAGGGGGTTGCACTGGTTCATGAGCGTAGCAGGGGGTCTGCCCTCAGCCCAGTTAACGAGCTCTCTGGTTTATTTCCCCAGCCTACTCTGCACCAGGCACGCCCCCTGCGAACCGTTCCTTCGTGGGATTAGGACCAAGGGATCCTGGGAGTATCTATCAGGCACAGGTGAGAGCCGTGAGCGCTGCGGGCGGGACTCTTCCACACAGGTGTCTCTTCCGGCCCGGCCTGTCCCAGCTCTGGCAAAGGGGGAGGTCTCTGGCCTCCTGCCTCGGGGTCCATGTGCCAAACACTTGCACAGAAGGGACCACTGAGGCAGCTGGATGCCAGCAGCCGTGTCCTATGGCAAGGAAGTGCAAGCAGGTTGTGCTGAGGAGGCAGGTCAGGAGTTAGGCAGGGGAAGAGCCAGGGAGCGTGACCAGAATGGCGAGACCTTCACTGGAGACCAGCATCTGCGAGGCACCTGACTGGAGCCTAGGCTGCCTGGGGGGATGTGACTAATCCCAGGGGCCATGCCTCCTAGGGTATAAATGCCTGGACGGACAGACAGACAGGTGTCCCGCAAAGGTGGAGTGTAGCCACCACGCCAGCTGGTAGTGTCGTGTGGTAGCAAATGAAGCCTTGTAGCTCACTGGAGTCTAGGGTGGCTGAATTGGGGCCTGGCTCCCTGTTTGTGCCGGCTGCTAAACTTTATCCCAGGGAGCAGGGGTGAAGAACGCCCCAGGTCAGAGGTTCGTGCTGCACCAGCGATGCTGCCCAGCCCTGAGCCACAGCCATGGTGGGAGGTGCCAGATAAGGAAGCTTGAAACCGTCTCTGGGAGCTCCCTATTCTGGAGCTAAGGGCAGACCTGCTCTGCCAGTCCGGGCAGCCCCAGGGCGGTTGCAGCGGGCACGCTCCAGGGCTGTTAGCAGAGGAAAATTCGTAGGAGGCCCTTTATGCCAACTTTAAAGTTCCTTAAAGCCAACACGGCTGAGTGGCTGTGAGGATCAGACCCGCACTGGTTTCCATGTCTGTGCCTGTGCTCCAGCCTAGATGCAGCCAAGATTTGCCCACAAGCTATGGGTTGCGTCCACATTGTTGCCTTCCTGCAGCCCAGTCCCATGGTTGTGCGTCTGTCCTGCCCATGCTATCAATCTATGTTTGTCCCAGGGCATTGCAGGAGACTCCAGCAGCAATCCCATGGTGCCTCAGCAGGGGGTTCAGCACCCAGAGCAGGGCACCCAGTGGCACCTGTGGTGCAGTGCATTCTGGGATATGTTAGCATGCAGGAAGAAAGGAGATGTTGCCCAAACTGGTTACCACGGAGACACCCAGGAGCTACGCCAGGCCTGTGGCAGTGACACATGTCCAGCTGCCATGGTTACTGACCCAGCAGCAGCCATGTGCAAGCGGGCACCAGCTGCGGCAAGTATCATGCTTTGCTGTGGACGAGGCAGGACCTGATGCGCCAGGCACTGTACAAACTGGCAGGGCAGGTTTCTGCTCCGGCTGCGGAAACACCCAGATAAAAGCTGTGCCAAGCATGGGCACGGAGGGGAGCCTGGGGCTAGAGGAGGGGCCTGTGCTCTCAGTCAGCGATTATTTCACCTTCTTAAAGGACAGTGCAACCCTGGTCCTCCCAAGCCCGAGGAAGGCTTGGCACAGGCTGAGCTGCCAGAGACAGGCTGCTGGGGCCAGGATGAGAGCCAGGCTCCCCTCACTGGTGCCCAGCTGGCCTGTGCAAGCTGCAGGCACCACTGTGCAGGGCGTTGGAGTCTCAGCCGAGTTCCCAGGAGGCAGTTGCCTTCAATGGCCTCAAAGGACGGCCAAGACCTGCTTGGGCTGTGAGTTGGGGTGTCCTGCATGGAGATCCCACATGGGCACAGCTCAGATGGAGGAGGATGTCCCCACTGACGTCCACGCTGCGCCCAGTACGGGGGTCAGGCAGAACCCGAAACCCACTGCAGCCAAGGGAAGGCGTCCCACTGGGTTTGGCTCGGGGCTGGGGCCTGGCCCAGCTCCCGCACCCATCCTGGACTCTGTTCTCCAGGTCTTGGCTCTGCTTCTGAGTCCCTCGTGTTTTCCCAGCCTGCTTCTGTGGGACTGCAGCTGCTTGGAGCCCTGCTCCCACCTTGGCACCCGCCCAGCACGGCGGAGCCGCGGTACAAACATGCCACTGAAAAAAAAGTTGGCACCAGTAACTGGTGAGGCTGCATCCACGCTCCGCCCCCGCCACCCCCGCCGCCCGACTGGCACAGCCACCGTTTGGCACCTGATTGGTTGGCCCCGTAGCGTGATGGCCATCAGCCAATGGGATTCCTCTTCCTCCTCCTCGGGCAACGTTGGCACCTGGCAGGGCCGTTAGGCGGAGCGCCGGTCGGAGGCGCGGCGAGGTTTTCCGGGCCGTGAGGATATTGCTCCCCACGAAGCCCCCCAAGGGGCAGCTCTTGGCTCTTAAAGAGACAGGGCCTTGCACCAGCAGCTCACGGCGGTGCTGGGGCACCGTCCACTGGGGCACGGCCCTGCTGTTGGGAGCGTCTTTGCCCCAGGCCACGTCCGTACACCCCGTCACTCCACCACTGCGTCCCCAACGGCCTGTTAGAGCCACAGTGGGATCTGGCGTGTGCATTTCCAGCTGCTTTTAATTAGCCGTGCTTATTATTTAATCCATAATTCATTAGCTGATGTGTACCCAGCGCTGAGCGTGATCCACAGCATTCATCGCACCATGCTCCTGGCCGTGCGTGGGCTTCCCTGGGTCGCTAGGGGGCACCCTTCCCCCCAGGCACCAGCGGGGAGCAGCACGCTGGGGGTGCCGCGCACCTGCAGGTGGTTGTCAGTAATTTGGCGGCAGGCTGCAAAAGCTCACGCCTCTCTGAACACGTTAGTCTGTAAGGTGCCACCTTGCCCTGTCTTCTGACTGCTACTCGTGGCAGCACAGAGCCATCACGCTAGGCACTGTGTCCACACACAATAGAAAAAGCCTCTTTCCCAGAGTTTTCCATCTGAATATAAGACGAGAGACAGGAGGATACATGCACAGACAGAGGAGCTCCCAAGTGACTCTAGGGCAATTAGACATATAAAACGCAGCACCTGTGGGGTGGTCACAGTTTTGTGGGGTGTTTCATGAGGGTACAATGAAGGCCAGAATCCTGCCAGGACTTCTGCTCTTTTCAAATGATCCTGGGATTTCCAAGCGGCTTAGGAGCCCTTATTTCCCATCCTAAATGGCCGCTGTTCAATGCTGTGCTCCACCCCAGAGCTAGCTGCATTTCAGGAGGAGATGAAATGTTCTCAGTGACCTGCCCCCCCAGACACCCAGGTTTGATGGGCTGGTGTATGAGAAGTGCTGTGCAGCTCACAGGTGGAAACTCCTGCATGAGGCATTATTGATGCCCAGTGAGTGCATGCAGGCTCAGAAGCAGACTCTGCTGAGGGATGCTCCAGCTTCCCGCTCTGGCTTTGACCCGGCAGCACAGTCACACATGACACAAGTGAGGCAGGTTCAGCTGTCCCCAGGCACTGGCTCAGAGATGCAGCACTGCGGCTCCACGCTCAGGGCTTACACAGGGCAGACATTGCCATGGTGGCTATTTCTGCGCCCCCTTGCAGAGGTGGTGGCTGCTGCAGTGGCTCACCAGTCCCTAGAGACTGCAGCCTTCTCTTTAGTTCCCCCTGCGCTGCCCAGTCCTTGCCAAGGGGCCGGAGGGGCTGGCAGCCTTTCTGACTCATCGAACCCTTATCCAAAGCGCACCAGCCAGAGTGCCCATTAGTGCCCGTTGTGCTGGCGCCTTGGTGCTGCACAGTCGTCAGTCAGGAAGCAGAGAGCCCCGGCCTGCCGGAAATTCCTTCCCTTTCTGCTTTCCCCTTCTCTCCCTGCGTCCCACGTGCTTGTGGAATAAATGCAAGGGCTATAAACACAGGGCTGTTTGTCTAGTGTCTCTGGAGAGGCCAGAGGCTGGGAGGGAGCCCAGGTGAACACTGACTTCATTCATTGTGGTTTTAATCCCCAGGGAACAAAAGCATTTGCACAGAGACCAGGTGCAGCATGCAGCAGGCTGCCTGCAGAGCCCTGGCTAGCATGACCTGCAGCTCTGGGACTGCTGCCGGGGACTCACTCACTCAGAAACACCCCATAATTGCTGACCTGACAAAGTCAGCCCCCTGCACTCGCTCCATCCTTAACGAGAGCCAAAAGCCTTCCCTCATTGTACCTCGCCGCTAATTACACCATTGCTTTTCCCATGATACCAGCAACACAATGGGTAGCAATGAGCTTGTGGGGGGGCGGGCAATAGTGTGTGTGTACACATGCACGTGCACCTCTACTGGTTGGCCTTGGAAGTACTCCAAGGTGTGTCATAGCCCCTATACCTGTAGCTAATAGAAATAGTGTGTGTGAGCTGTGAGGGCTGTTCCTAGCTGTGGACTGGGAGGAGGGACCAGTTGGTGTGGTGAAGATAAGCCATGGACCATGCAGGCAAAATTCTTCCACTGAGTCAGCTCTGGAGCAGCGACCCAGCTGTGCAGCAGTCGGTACAATACGGTCAGAGCACTTTTGCCCCCAAGTCAGTAGTGAGTGGCCCCCAGCCCAGAGACAGAGGATGCTGTGCTGTAGGCCATGGGGGAGGACTTCAGTAGGCAGCACTGTCCCCTGGCAGTCAGCGTTAGGGGGTAGGATGGGACCTCAGAAGGGGGCACCCCCCCCTCAGCCCCGCCCCACCCCTCCTGAACACGAGTGATGGGCACTTCCCGGGTGCCCTGCAGTGCATGAACAGTGTTCCCAGAGCCACGTGAATGCCAACACTGTGTCTGCATCTGCCCGCCCTCCCCTGGCCTTTCTCCACTTCCTGGCCTGCCGTGCCGGGTCCACTGGATCAAATGAACTCTCCGAAGGAAAGCAGATCTTCAAAGCAGGAGCGCTTGCAGAGCTCCAGCCATCCACAGCCACCTGCTCTGCCCGGCCAGTGTCTCTGCTCCATCCTGGGGAACAAAAGTGCCTTGTCTCCCTCCTCTGTGCCCTAGCCCTTGCCTCTGCCTCAGTTTCTCAGCTATGTCCCCACGTGGGATTCCCCACACTGTGCAGATCTGAGGGCTCAGTCCAGTTCGGAGCAGGCAGGTGGCACTGGCAGGTCCCTGATGGCAGCCAGTGGGGAAACTGCATGGGAAGTTGGGGCTGCGCCCA